CACATATTTTGGGGGGGTTGGACAATGGCACGTCCACTCCTCTCAGTATAATCAGAGTGCCCACCCACTGCCCATGAGTGAGGACGCGGCGTCAATAAGTTCCCCCATTCATTTTAGGTATAGCCCCTACCCACAGGGGATGTATGTTACTAGTGACTGGGCAGCAGTATGTCGCCAACAGGTTTATCAATTAGAGCCCCTACCCTATGACAATGGGTGGGTGCTGCGTGGGGGCACATTCAGCTCGATCCCCATTCATTTTAATTATAGCCAACCTGCTGAAAATAAAGCTTTGCATGTGTAAAGTGATGGAGGAGCCTAACCCTGCTGTTAATTGCTACCCATGGACGGAAAACAATTTTTGTTTTCATCTATATAAATTTTTGTTACCAATTGAGCACTGTTTATATATGTATATTACAGTTGAAATCAAAATTATTCAGCTCCCATTGAAAATCAGATTTATTACAGACTTTCAGCTGTTTGTAATGAACAAATCAAAACAAGCAATTGAAATAGCTTGACACAACGAATGCTTCAAGTTTCCGCAAATTCAACTGAAAAAGCAACCATACCAGGACCAATTTTCTGAAAGTAGCAGATTTTATAGCAGGAGAAATAGCTTCAGGCATTGGGCATTGAAAACTGCTATTTGATTGCCAAGAGGAATGATAATATACTGGTGATAATTTTTTGAGATTTAGCTCCAGTATTGAAGCGTTACCCTTATTGTTTTATATATTTTAGTTTTTAAAACAGTTTGACTTTTTAACTGGGTTTCACCAGGTCTCCACTGGATTATTAAAATATATTTTTAATGTATATAACCATATTTTTCGAAACATAAGACACACTGGCATATAAAACGCAACCATATATTTTAACAAGAAAAATAGAAGGAAAAATAAAATCATCAATTAGGGTAAACTTATGAATGATCATATTATTTGAAATAATCATCCTCAGTGTCAATGGGAATAGCATATATTAATAAAAAGCTTCCTGTTCCCTCCTAATTATATTTTTACCTCCCTATTCTGCCTCTTAAAGGGACACTATAGTCACCAAGCATACTTTAGCTTAATGAAGCAGTTTATGTGTATACATCGTGCCTCTGAAGTCTCATTGCTCAATTGTCTGCCATTTTGGAGTTATTTCATTTTGGTTCTGTTTATGCAGCCCTAGCCACCCCTTTCTTGGCTGTGACTGACACAGCCTGCATGAAAACAGAACGATTCAATTTTCAATCAGCTGTAACTTACTCCAAAAAAAAATTTTCTCCTGCTTTGTAAATTGAACTTGAACTGCATATAGGAGGCTCCTGTGGGGGTCTAGTAAGCTATAGCTTATACCCACTTTCACTAATCCCTAACCAGTTGGCAACCTAAATATTCTAATCCTTCTCCTCTTCAATTTTTTTTTCCCACTTTTGCTTCATCACTTGAAAAACGATGTCCCATATCTATTCCTTTTACCCCCTCACATAACCTTTTGCAGTGATTTTTCATCCGTTCCCCCATTCACATTAACAAAATGGAGCAGGAGCTGAAGACAGACAAAGTTACACGAGAGTCTCTGAGGTTGAGTAAGCCTGCCCTCACAAACATGTCAGCATGGGCTCTCTCTTAGTGATGTCTTTGAAGCAGAGCCCTCAGCACATTCCGAGCTCACAGGAGGAAGCTTTGCACAGGACCAGTAATTTATTGCACCATTTTTGTTTGCTCAGGCAGACCGCCCCCTCCAAATTGGTACTCAGGTATATGGAACGCAGGCAGCTTTGTATTCCCAATGGTGGAAGAGCGTCAAACATTCCGAAAAATACAACGCCTTGATCAAACAAGCTTACAAACTTAATATGAGGTAGGCGGATATATTTATCGTTAGGTGTCTTGCCTCAGGACACTGGTATGGTTGTCTGACCAGGATTTTAACCTGAAGAAACTCCCCTAGCTGAGAGGCGTGCCTAACAATGTAATCTGACCAAGTTTATAGTAAGTTTTTAAATGTTACCACATACTTTTTGAAAGTTTTTATTGCTTTATTTTGGTTTCTATATCTGTATTAAAGTGTTTGCTTGCTGTTTTAAGAAAAATAAAATGTCAAGTGATGCATGTCCCTTTAGACCTGAAGGTATCTCATTGGCTGAGGACGATCAGTGTATGTTCCTTGCACTGCAGGACTTAGCTCAGGAGAGGCTCTTCAGTGAGTGTGTGTGTTGGGGGAAGGGGATCGGGCCATACCTCCCAAGTGTTCCTATTTTGGAGGGATAGTCCCTATTTTCTTAAAGTGACTTTGTCACCCTAAACTTACCTTTCTTCAATCTGTTTTTTTTCCTCACTCCCAATCAGTTATTTGCAAGTTTTGCAAGAAGACAGATCCTGCATGGAGAGTATAAATTCCCATACTGAAATATCCATTAATACTTGTAGACTGTAAGCTCTTTTGAGCAGGGTCCTCGTCTACCTATGGTTCCTGTAACATTTTGTAATTGTCTCGTTTATTGTTAAATTTCCCCTCTTTATAACATTGTAAAGCGCTGCAGAATATGTTGGCGCTATATAAATAGTAATAATGATAATAATAAAAAGTATAAACTATAGGTTATGTACACATGGAGACATGATAAACCGATAGAATTAATTAACAAATGGGAAAAAGAACTACAAATACATATAGAAGAAGAAGAGTGGATAAGCTCTCTCAGTAGACTAAATAAACACGTACACTGCCTAAATCTTACGGAAACCCAATTCAAGCTTTCAAACAGATGGTATTTAACACCGAAACAATTAAAGAAAATCTTCCCAGAGTCATCAGATGCTGGAAATGTAACATAAATGAAGGCAATTTAATCCATAGGTGGTGGCGGTGTAAATCCATAAATACATTTTGGAAAGATGTAATTGAGGCCATATATAAAATAACAAACATAAAATAAGCTTTCAAACCAAAAGTGGTTCTGTTAAGCTTGCACTGGCCAAAAATGACCAAAATATTATTAATGATAATACCACACATAATTACAGCAGCTTAATTACTTTACCTGGTTAAAGAAACTGGAAAACAGAGATAATCCCACGCATCCAAGAATTAATAACACAAGTCATTTGGCAAGCAAGAATGGAAAGGGGTATCTTGGTGAATTTAGGTAACAGATATACTCAAATAGAAGACTGGGACATTTGGATAGATAAAATGGAAAGGATCATTTAAAAGAAGGCATAGTTCTTATCCCCTAAACGAGTAGAGAAAACAGAATAATAAAATAAAGATAACATACTATATATAAGTGACTCTCACTCTATCCAAAAAGTAAAATGATAAAGTAAACTAGACAAATAAGTAAATAAATAAATAAAATTAGGGTTGGGGTGGGGGAGGGGGGTGGGAGTGAAATCAATAAGAAAATGCAAAATATTGATGATGACAAAAATACCATGACCTGAAATATAGAAGCACTAGCATACTATACAAGGCAGGTACATGTCTGAAATGAAAATAAAAAGGATAAACTATACACAAAAACGTGATCCCACAATAAGAAACCCAGCACAGTGAGCTGCCAGGTATATATTATATAAACTACTTATAATGTATTTAATATAGCTGTATCAGTTATATATCAGTTATTATACTTACTACAGAAGTATGTGCAGCAGTTATTATATTAATTAAATCTGTGTGTGTGTATATATATATATATATATATATATATGTTATTATATTATATCTGTGTATATATCAGTTACTATAGCAGTATGTGAAGCAGTTATTCTATTTATTATATCTATATCTATCAGTTATTATATTATTTCTGTATATATATTATTATTTCTGTGTATATATTATTATTATTTCTGTGTATATAAGTTATTATATTATTTCTGTATTTATATATATTATTTATTTCTGTGTATATACGTTATTATATTATTTATGTATGTATATTATTTATGTGTATACAAGTTATTATATTATTTCTGTATATATATATATTGTTTATTATTTCTGTGTGTATAAGTTATTATATTATTTATGTATGTATATTATTTATTATTTCTGTGTATATAAATTATATTATTTCTGTATATATATATATATTATTTATTATTTCTGTGTATATATTATTATATCTATATATTATATATTATTATATTATTACTGTGTATATATTATTATTTCTGTGTATATATTTATTATATCTATATATTTATTATATCTATATCTGTGTGTGTATAAGTTATTATATTATTTATGTATGTATATTATTTATGTGTATACAAGTTATTATATTATTTCTGTATATATATGTTATTTATTATTTCTGTGTATAAGTTATTATATTATTTATGTATATATATATTATTTATTATTTCTGTGTATATATTATATCTATATATTATATATTATTATATTATTACTGTGTATATATTATTATTTCTGTGTATATATTTATTATATCTATATATTTATTATATCTATATCTGTGTGTGTATAAGTATATATATATTATTATATTATTACTGTGTATATCTTTATGTGTGTATATATATATTATTTATTATTTCTGTGAAGATATTATTATATCTATATATTATGTATTATTATATTATTACTGTGTATATATTATTATATCTATATATTATGTATTATTATATTATTACTGTGTATATATTATTATTTATTATTTCTGTATATATATTATTTATTATTATACCTATATGGGATATTCCTGGTGTGTTCAGTAAAGTCCTACTTTGCTCACTTTCCCGCCTGGTGACAGCTCCACTCGGGACCTTGCGTTGCTAAGGACGCGAAATCAGTGACATGACGTCATGCGCCCCATTACGCCCGCCCATCTCCCCGCAGCCAATTAAAAACAAGGCGTGGATCTGACCGTCAATCAAACGTACAGCGCGCGCAGGAGTTGTAAACACCAGAGAAAGTGCAAAGCTGCTACAGACATAGCCATAGCCTCCTTTCTCTAGTGTTTGTAACCCCCTGTGTCGCAGCGCGCTTTCCGGCAGGTGTCGCGGAAGGCGGGGCAGGGCGGTCATGTGACGCCAGACGCTGCCCGTGAAGCCGTCCCGGAGAGCATGCAGCCGCGCAGGCCTGAGGGCTTTGATGGGCTGGGGTACCGGGGAGCCGCCTACGGTGCGGACTACCAGCTCGGCTTCCCGGCAAGGTCCCTGAGCTCCTCGGGGGACCTGTCCCAGCACTGGGTGACCACCCCGCCCGACATCCCCGGCAGCCGCAACCTCCACTGGGGGGACAAAACACCTGTGTATGGGGGAGACGGCAGCCTGCCCCCTGCTGGCCTGGGCGAGGAGAGCAGCGGCGGCCGGGGTGAGAGCCTGCAGCCACAGGGCCGGAGAACTACAACTCCCAGCATGCTTCCCCACTCCAGGGGCTCACAGAGCATCATGGGAGATGTAGTTTTACAATAGCTTGCCTCTGTGACCTACTAATACATCCAGGGTTATCACCTGGCTGCCAATTGGGAAAAGGGACATTACACGGAATCTCTTAATTTAGGCCGAATTAGACAAAATGAAAACAACTGGTTTTTGTTGATTTTTATTTATTTGTTGTGTTTTTGCTTAATTTTTTCCCCCTAGTTTTAGTTAATATGGCCTAAAATATGAAGTTGCTGACAATTAACAGTGGTTATTAACCTTTTATGTGTACATGCTATTTATTTTATCTGTTGTAATTAATTCTACAATATGTATATTATTTTATTATTTATAAATAATTATAAATAACAAAAGAGAACCAGCAGGTTTCATATGTTGCATTGTTGATTTGAGTATTAATAATTTTTCATAGAAAATGCAGTGTTTACATTGTTGCCTTGGGACACCTTCAGTGGTAGTCACTCATACATAAAGCCACTAGAGGTGTTTCTTGAGTCACTGACATTAAGCGTCTTCACGCTCTGTATGGAGACGCTTAACATTCTATGAGGAGATGCTGATTGGCCACAGTGTTTTCCTATGAGTAAGTGGATTGGCTGAGATCATCACGTCTGATCTCAGCCGGGGAGGTGGAGTGGAGCCAGCGGACCCGCATGGCGTTGGAATAAAGGTATGTTTTAACCCTATTTTGAAGAGGGAAAGTGAGGATGCGGTCACCTAAAAAGTGTTTTTAAAACTATAGGGTCAGGAATATACATTTGTATTCCTGGCCTAGAGTGTTCCTTTACCTTCATAAACTGTAAAGATTCCATGGTGTTTTAGTTCCCAGATTACTCCGCTACTTAATTGTTGAGTTTTATATTCTCATAGACTACAGGAAGTGGATTTTTCTATTTTTAATGACTTTAATTAGCAGTGTTACTTATCCAGCTGCCTTATAGAAAATGGCACTGTGTACTTCTATGAACATTTGCCGGGTGACACTTTAATTGTCTGCATATACGTATTGTCTGTGGGACGAAACTGTGTTGTGGAAGTTTTAGACAAGTAAAATTTGATAACAGCCTGTGTATTCATATCAGAAATGAACAGTGCTGTGGTTTTGTGAGGCATGTCTGTTCTGGTTTGTAAAACTTGTTGATATACAAGCATGTTTTCCTTTTTATACTTTTCAGTGCAGTAAAATGCAACAATCTTAGAAATCCTACCAGAACATTTTATATGTTTAAAGGACCACTCTAGGCACCCAGACCACTTCAGCTTAATGAAGTGGTCTGGGTGCCAGGTCCAGCTAGGGTTAACCCATTTTCTAATAAACATAGCAGTTTCAGAGAAACTGCTATGTTTATTAATTGGTTAAGCCTTCCCCCAAAGCCTCTAGTGGCTGTCTCATTGACAGCCACTAGAGGCGCTTGCGTGCTTCTCACTGTGATTTTCACAGTGAGAGCATGCCAGCGTCCATAGGAAAGCATTGTAAATGCTTTCCTATGCGACCGGCTGAATGCGCGCAGCTCTTGCCGCGCGTGCGCATTCAGCCCAGGAGGAGGATCGGAGGAGGAGAGCTCCCTGCCCAGCGCTGGAAAAGGGTAAGTAAGTTTAAACCCCTTTCCCCTTTCCAGAGCCTGGCGGGAGGGGGACCCTGAGGGTGGGGGCACCCTCAGGGCACTATAGTGCCAGGAAAATGAGTGTGTTTTCCTGGCACTATAGTGGTCCTTTAAACCTCCTTCCCTGGTTTTATTCTCTAGCCCATTTTGCTGTTTAGGTTTATATACGTAATAACTTTATATATACTACAAGATTGGTTTCGTACATGGGTTCAAGCTCAATCCTCTAGGGTTGCAGATTTAGTGACTGTTAATTTTTGGTTTGCTGAAAGAACCCATTACTCCCTTTGTTTCCAGTGCTGAGACTCAGTCCATCCTCTTCGGCTTCTCATTCAATACAGTTGTGGAGGAGAAATGCGTGTGTGGCACGCGCCACGCTCCTCTAATCAAATACTTCTCATAGAGAACCATTGAATCCAGTGCATCCATATGAGAAGCATCAGAGGATGTTCAATGTCCTTGTTCAATGCCTAAAGACCTTGCATGTCATAGAACAGAGTTTGAATATGTTGTGGGTGCAGAAGTACCAATAAATAAATGCCAGGAAGAGTTTTATTTATCTCCAAAACAGAAATGTTTTACATTGCAGGATCAAAACACCAGGGTCGCTACGCATACACCTGATAGTCTGGGAGGGCTTAGTGTCCCTGTAGGAGTCAGGGTAGTTTCTCTCTTTCAGTCTGTCAATTAATAAATAGAAATGTAACATGTTTCACCCTAGTTAACAAGATAATTTATGCCATTAAAAAATAAAGGCTGCTATGTGAGCTGAAACATCGTGATTTTTCTTCTCCAATAAATCTATGTGCTACATACTTTTTGCACTGTTCTACTGTTATGAAAAATAAATCTGTTTGGATCCCTTGTGTATAGGGATGCCGTTGGTTTTCCATATTATCTGGCAGTTACAAATGTAAGATGTACATTAGTTACACATTTGTATCATGCCCCTGTCTCCTGGAGTAATTTAGTAGGCCATCAAATCGACCTACAGACATGCATATCTCTGGATGGGACAGCATCAATCAGGGTTATTCACTAAAAGTGAGAATTCAAGGTGAATTTTAAAGATCAAAATAGCCAAATTGGGAAAACAATCAGCTATGCTTTCAGCTACTCTGGAGTTAAATGTGAAATTAATTTTAAATTAATTTTTAATTTTCACTTTGGTAAATAACCCTTGAGTTGTTTTTTTTTGGGGGGGGTTTCCAACATGTTCAGAGCTATTTTGCCACCAGTATTGGTGCTGTTCACTCATAGCCATTACATTGTGAATATTTCTTTTCGGTGCACCAGTTTATTGCATGCAGTCTTTTTTTTCCACCCATTTATTTTCTACTTACCTGACTGTCTACCTCTCAGCCTGAAACTTGGTTTATGTGAATGCTGGTTTCATTGAGTGTAAATGCAGGGGCGTTGTTTCACTCTTTTTCTCACAGGCCCACTTCTTTCTGGTCCAGCCATCCATGTGTGTTTATTACCCCACGCCACCAGCCCATTCATGGCTTTCTTCTTTGACAAGCTACTCACGTCAATGTGTCCCTAGCACACGTCACTTGCACCTCCTTCCCTTTTTAAGTTCATAAATGTATTCTAGATAAGATGCTAAAAGTGACGTACACCCTTGTCCTATAACCTACGCAAGGACCAAATGGGCCATCCAGTGATCCACGTTAGAGTTTAAAAAGCAAATGTAATTTAGTTACGCGTGTTTTGTTTGAGACAAAATCCAAGAACTTAAAAGAACACTATAGTCACCTTAATTATTTTAGCTAAATAAAGCGGTTTTAGTGTATAGATCATTCCCCTGCAATTTCACTGCTCAATTCACTGTCATTTAGGAGTTAAATCACTTTGTTTCTGTTTATGCAGCCCTAGCCACACCTCCCCTGGCTATGATTGACAGAGCCTGCATGAAAACAAAAACTGGTTTCACTTTCAAACAGATGTAATTTACCTTAAATAATTGTATCTCAATCTCTAAATTGAACTCTAATCACATACAAGAGGCTCTTGCAGGGTCTAGCAAGCTATTAACACAGCAAGGGATAAGAAAATCTTAATTAAACACAACTTGCAATAAAGAAAGCCTAAATAGGGTTCTCTTTACAGGAAGTGTTTATGGAAGGCTGCGCAAGTCACATGCAGGGAGGTGTGACTAGGGTACACAAACAAAGGGATTTAACTCCTAAATGGCATATGATTGAGCAGTGAGGCTGCAGGGGCATGTTCTATACACCAAAACTGCTTCATTAAGCTAAAGTTGTTCAGGTGACTATAGTGTCCCTTTGATGAAAACTAGATGAGTTTTGATCAGAGACACCATGAACAGGTTAAACCCCTTCCAGTTTTAATACATTATATAGAGAATGCATTAAAAACAAAATCAAATTTGTAAAAATTTTTTTTTAGCTTTTAAAGGGAACCACCTGGCACTATAACAACTTCATTGGAATTAAGTTAATACAGGAAACCATAGAGTATGGGCAGGCCTAAATGGCACTGGAGAGAAGGCTTTGGGGTTGAATCGTTTGTTTACAGTTTAACCAAAAGTAAGCTGGCGCAGGGATCTCCTAGAACCATAACAACGTAATTCCAATGAAGTTGTTAAGGTGTCTGCCTGTCTGGAGTGTTCCTTTAAAGTTAGTCAAATTGAACCTAACTTCTCAAATTGGATTCAACCTGCCCCTGACCAAATTAAGGCAAACCAATTAGAAGCCTTTCATTCTGGTCTGTTAACTAATTTAATTTTTTTATATATTTTTTTTTCCCTTAACCTTTAAACTCCAGTCACACTTTGTGTGGCGGTAAGTTAGAAAATACGAAGCAATCAAGAATTGGGCATTGCCTCTAATAGCCCAGTACTATATAGGTTTGTGCATTAGTCTGTGGCAATTGCAAGTACAGCCTTCCTGTCTGAGATTGGTTAAAATATTATTCAAATGAAGAACTTAAGATAATTGTTAAAAGCTTATGGTTTCTGCTTTGTCTAAGCTAGATATTTGAGTCGACACATGTTCTGACATAATGTGACTGTTAATACCTGTATTTGATTTACTTTTACCTTGTAGCTGCAATATCCCCTTGCTCGTACGCTAGATGTCACTGCAGGCTGTATTTGAGTCTTGTTACATGATTGCATCCCGTTTAACTTGCTTGCAGCAAGTTCCTGATTTGTGACATTCTCGATGACTATTGCACGTGGAAAGTAATAAAAAGTGGAATGCAGAGAATCAATACACAATTACCTATAATATAAAAGAATATTTATTTGTTGTTTAAAAAAGAAAAGTAAACATTTGTACTCAGGACCCTAAAGACACACTCTAAGCACCGTAACCACTACAGCACTCCATAGTGATTATGGTTACTAGGAGTGCCCTAGCACCTCCAGCATTGTATATATAATCTAACCATTTCAGAACAATTTGACTTCTTAGCCTCTCCACGCCTCCAGTGCTAACGGCAAACCTGGAGTAGAAGCTTTTTTTTTAGGAGCCTCCATTGGCTGAAAGTTCCACCTGATCTCTCTCAGCTATTGAGCTTGGCTGTGCCAGAGAACATATATGTAGTGAGGGTTATCGATAATTTCAATATTAAATTCTAAGTATATTTTGAAAATATATTGAACCTATTTTTATTAGTCAAACCAGTGTGTGTGTGTGTGTGTGTGTGTATATATAATTTATATGCTACCAATACGCCTTTTAGAGTAGTAATGTCATTCAAACTAATTAAAGGCCAATAAACCATAGGAGTTAAACCTACTCTATAATTCCCGTAGGAAATTATTGCATTGGCTGAGGTGTGTCTGGGGCAAACTCCACCGTGGCCAATCAGCATCTCCTCGTAGAGATGAATTGAATCAATGTATCTCTATGAGGAAAGTTCAGTGTCTGCATGCAGAATGTGGAGACACAGACTGTGCAGCACTGCCCCAGGAAGCACCTCTAGTAGCCATATGAGGAGTGGCCAGTATAGTTATCACTAGGCTGTAATGTAAACACTGCATTTTCACTGAAAAGACAGCAGTTACTGCAAAAAGCCTGAAGGTAATGATTCTACTCACCAGAACAAATACAATAAGCTGTAGTTATTCAGCTTACTATAGTGTCTTAAGTCCAGAGCAGCTGAACTGGTTTCCAGTTTGGATATTTTGATTTTAAATTCTCTCTCTACTCAAAGTCTCTCATGCAATTTAACCTTCTAGCGTCCTTATTAAGAAAACAAAATCCTAAATAGGTTCTGGTTTTTGATATCTTCTATTCTTAGTTTGGGGGAACAGAAGTCGCTGTTGGAGAACTTGTCTCAGCAAATAGTTTAAGTTGAAAATGATTGCTGGACTACAATTGCTATCATGCTCAGTAAGATTATGCGCAATAGCCTCCAATGCTTTCCTACAGGAAAGCATTGGATTGGCTGAGATTGTCAATTTTGATGATCTCATCCAAGTGGGCGGAGCAAGCCGTGATAGTCCTGCGCAGCACTGGAATAAAGATGAATAAAATCTTCTTTGAAATTGCTTTCAGGGTGGTCGGGAGGGGGTTCACAGCTATATTGACGGGAATATATATTTGTTTTCCTGTCACCATGGTGTTCCTTTCATGTTGAATTAACTGCAGTGTCATGGACTATGACCATATCGGTAGTGTGTGCCACTTTTATTTTTTTTTTTTATAGCCATCACAAAATATATATGAAATCATATCTGCTGTGAAGTAGTGATATATCCTATTTTCACAAGAGGTGCACTATAGCTTTCTTTTGGATGTCCGATGATGAAATCTATATTATTTTGAACATTGGTTTAGTTTCTGCTGATGTGACTGTACTAATAATGTCTGAGAGCCTCCGCAGTTTATTTTAAGTTTATTTTTATTTATGTTTTTATGAGTTGTCCATATTTAATTTACTTATTTTTGTTCATTCATTATCGTGAACTATGAAAGTAAAATGTGGAAATGTAGCTGATTTTATTTCTGTATTTATCTGTGCTGGCAAACATTAGGACATTTCAAAACAGAACAGTAACAATCACCTGAAAGAAAAAAAAAAAACTTTATAAACATGGGCAATAAAAGGACCACCCGATAATTGTAAAGATTTTGTACCCTGGAAGTGGTCTGAGCTTTAGGGATTTATTTTGGGATAATTTTTCATCTTGTCAGCTGACAAATTGAGTCATGAATACAGAAAGCAACGTGTGAAAAACCCTCGGGGCCGCGTGGAGATTTTCACCCTCAAGGTTACAAAAAAGAATGCTAAAATTATTCATTTTGGAAATTTCAGAAGTCTACTAAAGCATAAGTCATTTTTCTTTAGTTGCACATAATGTGGGCAAACGCTTACTAGATCAGTGCATCATTTAATAGGTGGCAGTCTGATACCTGTATGAGATCTTTCTAAACATCTCTTGGAAAATGCCCTCGGTTTCTGCTTTTTTTTATTTATTTATTTTCTGATATTTGGACTGTTTGCCAAATTGAAACACTTGATAGCCACAAAAGAAAATTACAATTCATATATGGGAATTTCAAATTCAAAAACTTATAGGAGTACATTTTGTTTTGTTACCTGCTATGGATATATATATATATATATATATATATATATATATATATATATATATATATATATATATATATATATATATATATATATATATAATTTTTTTTTATTATTTTTTTTTTTTTAATGCTGCGTTTCTGTCTTATTATGATTTTATATAGCGCCAACATATTCCTGCAGTGCTTTAGAATTATAGAAGGGGATATCTGACAAAAAGAAGTTAATATTCACTAATCTTGTCTTTCTTTTTAGAACAATTGAATCGATTTGCTGGATTCGGTATTGGACTGGCCAGGTGATTTTTCTTTAATTTTATTTTTTTAAACATTAACACAACGTAATGTTAAAGGAACACTCCAAACCTACATTAATAAAGTGACACCATTTTCTCACTTTATTAAAAGTAAGATAAGTCAGCACTTTAATAAAATCTCCTAGATGGGACCTATCCTGGGTGGATTTCATCTGGTCAGTAAGACTTGACTAAATGAGGGTTTTCTACATTCTAAGATTTACAACCAGATGAAGGTTATATTTTTAGAATAATAACTTGTCAGATTAGTTTAATAGAACTAATACAATGAGATTAATGTGTGTCTGAACTCTGTCATGATTATTCACTGAAAGGAGAATTGTTAATTCTAAGTGAATTTCAAATTTAATGAAAAAATATACAAACTGGAATAAATCTCCAAGTCCTCTATGCCTCCAGTTCAGCAATGTTAGTCTAAAATGTGATATTCACATGGAATCCACCTTGAATTCCACAAATTCTTACTTTTGTAAATAACCCTGTGTAAATTTACTTGAAAACAGTTTTGCTGTTAAGAGGAGGCCTTTTATCTCTGCAGACTCAAATTTGAAGAACTCCAAATCCAAGCATTTGTGATCATATCTTCTAGATAGAAAAAAAATGTCCAAAATAATAAGGAATTATTTTTCCGGATCATGACATTGTGAACGGATTAATAGAATTAATTTCCCCCCAAAATTTAAATATTGTATGATTGTACATCCTCATGCTACATTTTAAAGTCCAAGGGTTACTCTAATCCCTTTTTCTGATATACTCATTTTTAGTTTTTGATGGCCTACTGGTCATTATTTACTAGGTCTCCTTTTATAAACCTAAAAATAAAGGGTAAAACCTACCTGGAATCCAGTTCTGGGTGAAGCTCCCAGCTATGCCTTCCAAACTCCGTTTGATGTCAGAAGTGCTCAATCATGTTCCAATCAAATGCTTCGCCTAAAGAAGCCTTTGAATGGACTTTTTATCCGGCTCAGAGAACATGCGCTAGATTTAAAATAAAAAAACAGGCAGTGCAGGCGGGAGGGTGGAGCAAGCGTTCCCTGGCAGACACGCTGCCTACAAGGGAGAATCCATTACATGTGTCGCCAGGACGCTGATGACATACATTTTGGACACAATTGACAATAGCACAACCACTTCTTAAAACATAGATACGGTAATGCTTGGAGTAACTCTTAATTTTTTTTATTTAATTCTTGGAATATAGAAGATAGATTTTGCCTCTAAAAAAAGAATTTTACTAAAAAATAATAGATTTATTTAAAAAAATTGATTTCATTTATTTTAAAATAATGATCCTGTGCTTCGCAGGCGCAGCGATTGCTACTCATGCACCATGCCTCCCAATGCTTCTCTCTGATAAGCAGTGGATTGGCATGGGAAATCATCAGTTCAGATCCCAGAGTTGGGGTGGGGCATAGACGAGCATCCCCCTTGCCACTGGATTATAAGAAACTACATTTCTGGATTTTGAGTCAATCCAGAGTAATAAAAGTGTTAAAGGGCTTTAGGACTTTGTAAACAGTGCTATAGACCTGACCACAGGATCTTGTTTTGAGGGTGCAAAGCATACATCCCCTTAGACTGGCATTCCTGTGTCTCAGGATGATGCTGGTGGTAGTTGCTGATCACGGCTCTGTGCACAGCAAATTCAAGAAACCTCAGTTAAGTGTCTTTTTGAAGCAGGAATGGGCGATTTTAAGTTTATCTGCTCACAACATTCCTGCAGCTCATTGTCTGATTTTTTATTTTTTTTTTAAGATAAGTTGCTATAGATATTAGGCAGCAATATGTTTTTCCAGGTCACTTGTTGTACACCTAGATTTTTGGTATCACTTTAAGTATGTTTTCTTTTTCCCAAGTCTCTTTACAGAAAATGTTTTGGCCCACCCATGCATTGTGCTGCGTCGACAGTGCCAGGTATTATTATTATTATTAATATTAATATTGTTGTTATTGATACTTCTCTGTTTATCTTGTTTAGCTCTTGGTGGTATCACTTTTTTTTTTTTTGGAACTGCTGCGTATGTATATTTATACCCTATATTTAACCAGTATGTGTTTCCTGATGTGTGAATTATAAAATTGAAATGTATACATCCACATTGCTCAAGCCTAGAAATGGGCACCTCCATCGTAGCTCCCTGTTAGTCATTGTTACTGTTTGTGTCCTTTGCACCTGGCAGTCAGCATAGAGAGAGCATACAGAGAAAAGGAGAAAAAAAACAATATTTTTGTTTCTTTTCCACATTTGCAGTGGGTGCTTGGACTGCCTGGATTGAAATGTAATTTGCTAAATTTTTAAAGGGTTAATTCAAGCACACTGGCCACTTAGAAACATAGAATGTGACAGCAGATAAGAACCATTCGGCCCATCTAGTCTGCCCACTTTTCTAAATACTTTCATTAGTCCATGGCCTTATCTTATAGTTAGGATAGCCTTATGCCTATCCCACGAATGCTTAAACTCCTTTACTGTGTTAACCTCTACCACTCCAGCTGGAAGGCTATTCCATGCATCCACTACCCTGTCAGTAAAGTAATACTTCCTGATATTAATTTTAAACCTTTGTCCCTCTAATTTAAGACTATGATAGAAACATAGAAACTTCAGTGGTTTGAAGTGATTATGGTACCTAGAATCTGTATATGTAGAATTTTGCAATGAATCGCTGAACATACGGCGTTAGACCCTTCTGCTGCCGGCCGTGTATCCATATGGGGTGTTTTTAGCCAGGCCAGAATTAGACCTTTTGGGCTGGGTAATGTCAATTCTGTGCATATTTCATCATACAGAATTGTATTCATTCTCTGAGAGTGATCGGTGAGTGAATGGTAACGTGGTTTCTGCATCAGAGCTTGGGGAGGCTGTTTTCAATCGGTTTGCCCCAGACCAGGATACTTTTGGCATCATAATCACTAGAGCAGGCTGTATTGTTTATAATGATAAAAGTAACCCTTTAATAGGTTTAAAATAAAATAGATCATCTGATGACAATTTACAATGGAGTAATTTCCAGCAAAGTGATATTTCCCCTTTACATTGTTATTTCTTTAAATATTATAATACATTTTCTGTAATGTGTTTATTGTGCAACCTCGTTTTGTACATGGATTTGGTATAATAATCTGTCTGTGTGCCTATTTAAGAAGATTTTGTCAACTTTTATATAGGCTTAAGGAGATCTCTTAAAGGGGCACTATAGTGTCAGGAACACAAATGTGTATTCCTGACACTATAGTTCCATTCAGGGGGTCGGCGCCCTTTATCTGGAATTAGAAATGTGGTATACTCACCTTTTTTCCAACGCTGTGTGTGGCTCCTTGTTGGGCAGCACTGCCCAGGAAGCCCTTCTAGTGGCTGTCTGAGGAGGGATTGCAGGTACTTTGCATGTTTTAGGGTGTGTGGGGGTATTTGTTCCCCTCCACCCCTATACAGTTTGCCCTATGAGTGTCACAGCCATTAAATTGCTATTTTTCTAAATGTATTGAATTCATTGGGCTGTTTTCTTCACTTTATCTCAATTGAAATAGTCCATATTACCTGTATCTGTTCTTATGTCCCATCTCACTCCCCCTCTTTTCATTGGCAATGATTCTGTTTGCAAAACTGTATTGCTTACGTCTGAGTTATGGATGCTTAACTCGACCACTGGTGCCGAGGTTTGCATATTTCTTGCCACATTCTCATGGTTAATGAAGTAATGGCAAGTGATAGAAGACATTTGAAAAATAAAATTCTCTCTGTTTACGGATCCCGAACATAAATATTATTGCATTTGTCCTGTTTTAACATCCATTTTTTTATTTATTTTCAGGTTAATTACCATGCTAGAAATTACCAGTTATCTCCATTTAGCATTGTCAATATTATGTATAACTTCACGAAAACCCAGGTAAGGTTTGGATTTTCATAAGAAATTAATAACTACAAGAATAAAGTGTTTAGGAAAAAAATATTTAAAAGTGACCCTGTCACTCATAAAAAGTGTGTGTGTGTGTGTGTGTATCTCTTCCTCTGAATACTAAAATAACTGCAGTAATGTATGAAGCAACTACTCAAACAATCCAATACATTAAAAATAATACCAAAGAGCTAACAATCTCTTCTGAATTAACTAAAAAAGTGCACAAGTGTTAAAGTATTATTTTGTGATTACCAAGACTTGAGAGTGCACCATTCTTGTGGGTATTATATCTGGGTTTATTTGTTTTGAGGCAAAAATTCTCTGATTCTCTCTTGAACTAATTTGCATATACCCACCCAGAATCCTTTGCGGTAGTAACATCACTGCAAATATGTGATTCCTGTGGGAAAAGCAAGTCTTCTGACTTGACTGGTGTGCAGATTTTTGTTTAACGTTGTATTAAAAATATATATATCTCAACAAAAACAATACTTGGCACTCCACCAACAAAAATAAAGTAATGTGCCTGGGTGCTAATCCCACGTTTACTATACACAAAAATAAAAAATTAAAGGATCACTCACAGATCTTCCAATTCAATCAAATGATGCTTTAATGTGTCTTCAAAAAGTCATGGTCAACTGTGTCACAAATTGACCCATTGGCGTCTTTATCAAGATCACAGTGCTAGTGAAAAGGTATACATTTATATAAAATGTGATTCTTTGTTGTACTAATTTGCATGTGCCCACCCAGAATCCCTTGCAGTAGTAACATCACTACAAATTTGAGATTTCTGTGGGAAAAGCAAGTCTTATGGCTTGACTGGTGTGCAGATTGTTCAACAATGTATTGACTATCCACTGACTTCAGATATATTTGAATGTATTTATTTAAAGAAAAAATGTTCACAAGGCTGTCACTCTATTTATTTATAAAATATTTTACCAGGAAAGATACATTGAGATTTCTCTCGTTTTCAAGAATGTCCTGGGTCCACAAAACATTGCATTGTTACATTCGGGTACAATAAAATACAAATACAATATTAATACACAACATATACAAATTTAACATATAACCGGTAGGAATATATAATCAACCATGACAGGTGCATTCTGTTTTGAGGTATGTAGAGAGGGATCTTTTAAAAGACTTTAGGCTTGGGGAAGATTTGAAAGTGTGCGGGAGGTCGTTTCACAATTGCGCACTCTGTAGGAGGAGGAGGATCGAGCCGCTTTCTTTTTGTATTGAGGTAGACTAAATAAAGTGTTGGTACTGGATCGGAGGTTTTAGGAGGTGGGAACAGCTGAGGAGAGCATTTTGTTCAGGTAGGGTGGTAGAAAAGCTCTTAAACACAAGACTGGAAAGATGAAGGGTGTGTCTGGATTCCAGCAACAGCCAGTTTAGTTATTTTTGCATGTTACAATGGTGGGTCCTGTAATTACATTGTAGCACAAATCGGCAGAACGAGTTATACAATTTAATAAGGTGGGATTGCGGTGCAGATGCATATACTACATCCCCATAATCAATGATTGGCATCAGCATTTGCTGTACAATCTTTTCCTTCATTGTAGGGCTTAGGTAGGATTTGTTTCTGTACAGGGCACCTAGTTTTGGATAAAGTTTAGATGCAAGCTTTTCTATGTGCAGGCCAAAAGATAGGTTGGGGTCTAACAACATACCCAAGTATTTGATAGAGTGGACTGCAGTCAGTGTGCTATTTGAATTAGCTTTGATGCATAGATGACAGTTTTGTCAGTGTTTAGGAAGAGTTTGTTTTTTGCGATCCACTTTTCTACATCTGTAAACCGGTCTATGAACTCTGTAGTAAAAGAAACACTGCTTTTATTTTCTTTTTAAAATACGTATCAATGTTTCAATTTGGGGAGGGAGGGGGATTGCTGTTGTTTTAAAACTGAAGCTTTGACACCTAATTTAAAAAGCCAATAAAAGCTATGTTTTGTTTTGTTTAGTCCCTACAGCTCTATCATTGTGAATATTATATATATATATATATATTTATTTTTTTTTTTTTTTTCTGCACAAGTTTCTAATATAATTTCAGTATTTTATAGTGTGTTTTTGGATATTCTTAATTGTTTTCATATGGTAACCATTTGCTGCTGCTGTTTCAGGGTCCCCGAGCACTTTGGAAAGGGATGGGAAGCACTTTTATTGTTCAGGGTATAACTCTTGGAACGGAAGGCATCATCAGTGAATGTACACCTTTACCCAGGTATTGCCATTTAAATGCAACAGGTCTGATAGATCTAGATTTTTTACTCTGCCAGGTTTGGGTTTGAAAGTATATTTTGGTTTCAGCTACCATAACCTAGAAATAATGCTTTGTGTCTCTGCACTCGCCATTATATGACTGGAATCGGCTTCCTCTTTGGAAATTCCAGCCCTGAGATCTAGAAAGCATGGGTAACTTGTGATTCTTGCAGCTGGGCTACAAAGTCATTTTTGTGATTAAATACAATCAAAATAAAATAATGTCTCTTTGATCATTTAGTCAGTAGAAAGAGTTTAATATAATCTTTGGATGTGTCTTTCAGAGTGTGTTTATTTTTCTTTGTACAGTTTATATTACTGTGATTCTTTCTAGGGAAGTCACCCATAAATTCAATCCAAAGCACATAGCCGGACATCTTCTTCTGAAAGGGTAAGTGACAATGTGTTTCTTATATTGCAAGTAACTAGAAGCTATTAAGTTAAAATACCTTTTATAATTGTAGTTGTGTTTTGGGGTGTTTGTTTTAATTTTTATGAAACATTTCTTTTTAATATTTGTGAGTCTGGGAGACTTAGAGAAGTACTTTCCTTGTTAGATAATAAAAGTGATGCATATATTTTGATTTAAAATAGCGTAAATTAATTCTGGAGACGCAACGTAAACCTCTAGACAGAGTCTCGAGAACCCTGGTGTCCTGGAACCTGGTGCAGTGCACATATTGTGAGAGATTTATTTATTTTTATTTATGTTCCTTTGGGGTGAGATTCAAGAATCTGTCGCAACTTCCAATTTATTAAAATGGTCTAATAGTAGTCTGGTATATTAAAACAGACTTTTATTTTACCTTTACAATTATCTCCCACAAATCTTAATAAATGGAGTGCGCTACACAAAATAACGCAAAAGAAAAAATAATTGAAAAGTAATAAATAGTATAAAATACTGTCAGAATAATTCATGCTTGAAAAAAAGGCAGATTTTAAAGACACTTTGACAGAAGTCCCCCCATTGTCTAGATTTTAACGGAGCGCTATGGAATTTGCTGGCGCTATATAAATATTAATAAATAATAATAAGATTGTCAAGAAGCGTAACATTGTTTTGGCAAAGATAGGAGGTGAGGCAATCCCTTTCTTTATAATTCTAAGTTAAAAATTGATCAACTAAAACAACAATTTTAAAGGAACACTCCAAGGCCCATAACTACAGCTCACAATAGGCTGACACTCTCAATGAGTTATCCCTGCATTGGTGGGCTTATCTCAGGATAGCCAATGCAACCTGCGGCTTTGGAACCTCTGCCTCTCCATAGGAAGTAGTGGAGGTGGGGAGCAGCGCCTGACAGACACTAGGTTATAAGTCAAACAGTTTGACTACTTACTAAAGGAGGGGGGAAGCTGCAGGACTGGACATTTTAGGATAGATCCTAATTATCATGGACACTATACTGAGGATTCAGGAAGCCTTATTTTTTTTTTTTAATTCCAAGCCAGAGGACAAAATGTCACAAATCAGTCACAGATTTAGTGAATTCAGTGAAAGGGCTTCAGACACAGAGGTAGCAATGTACCTCCCCAAGATATTCTTAGCAGCATCGTATCAGACTAAAGAAAATCGTAGACATTTTCCATTGAGTTTTTATCTATTTTACATTTTCACTGTTTAGTAGATATAGCACTGAAGAAAACACTTTTTTTTTTTTTTTCTTGCATGTTTTTTTTGGGTGTATGAAAGCCTTCCCCTTTACCCCTGACACAGGCTGAAAAGTCATTGAGAAGCCTCTGTGCTGTATCTGCAGGCGCACATGTGCAATGTCATCTTTCCAGCGCCTTTCAATGCTCTGTATTAAAGCACATTGGCAAGTGGGGAAGGCAGGAGCGCTCCTGCCACTTCCCTTAGCTCTGTGATGGCTGGAAGCCAGGGAAGCATCTCTGCCCCAGTTGTAAAAGTGCCGTTTTTGGTTGAAATTAGCACTTTTAGGAACTGTGAAAGAAAAGAAAAAAAGAGACTCCAGACACACACAGTACTTTAACCCCTTAGTGACCAGTCTGTTTTTCATTTTATTTATTTTTTACCGTTAAGGACCAGGGCTGTTTTTACATTTCTGCAGTGTTTGTGTTTAGCTGTAATTTTCCTCTTACTGAATTACTGTACCCACACATATTATATACCATTTTTCTTGCCATTAAATGGTCTTTCTAAAGACACAATTATTTTCAACATATAGGAGGGGTGTTTTTTTGTTTTTTTGTTTTTTTATAGGGCTATAAGTACAAGTAGGACATTGCTGTTTGAAAATATCAGTTTTTTAAAAAATTTATCAATACTGACATTGTAACACTGTTAACTGTCATAAATCTCTGAATCACACCTCACATGTCCTTTTTTTTTTTAATTTTTTTTTTTTAAGTAGACAACCTAGGGTATTCAAAATGGGGTATGTCCAGTCTTTTTTAGTAGCTACTTAGTCACAAACACTGCCCAAAGTTAGCATTTATATTTGTTTGTGAGTTAAAATTGCAAAAATCAATTATGAATGCTAACTTTGGCCAGTGTTTGTGACTGAGTGGCTACTAATAAAGACTGTGAACATACCCCATTTGCAATACTTTGGGTTGTCTTTTTTGTAAATGATATGCCATCATAGGGGTTATTCTCATTCCTGGGCTACCATACGCTCTCAAAGGCAACATAACCAACCTGGCAATTTTCAATGTGAAAGAATGGAAAATCAAGCCTTGTATTTGATCCTGTAACTTTCAAAAACCCTATAAAACCTGTACATGGGGGATACTGTTCTACTTGGAGACTTTGCTGAACACAAATATTAGTGTTTAAAAACCGTAAAATGTATCACAGCCATGATGTCATCAGTGAAAGTGCCGCTTGTGTGTGAAAAATGCAAACAAAAGTCACTTTCACTGGCAATATCATCGCTGTGATATGTTTTACTGTTTTGAAACACTAATATTTGTGTTCAGCGAAGTCTCCCGAGTAAAATGGTACCCCCATGTTTTAGGGTGTCATGGAAAATGGAAAGTTACAGGGTTAAATACAGTGCTAGCAAATTAAATTCTCTTTCGGCCTGGGTTGTCAGGCAGGTCCCTCAAATTGCAATCAATAAAATTACCTAATTATGTAAAAATATTACTTAAATATATGTACATATATATTTGAAGTCTATGTTTATATTTATGAAATTATTTATGTAATTATGTATATGGATATATCAGACATTCCCCCCAGACCGGGAGCAACACTGATCGCCGGCGGGGGAATGGTGGCGATCGGGTAAATAATAGATTTGCCTCGTACGTACTAGGTTTTTGTCTGACGTACCTAGTACGTCTGCGGCCCTTAAGGAGTTAATATTGGCTAATTGCCTCTATGTATTGTATAATGGGTGGTAACTTTACTTTACTTATTTTACAGGTTGGTTTATGCAATTGCAACGCCATTTTACTCAGCAAGTTTAATTGAAACTGTACAGGTAATGCAGTATGATTCTCTTTAGTTATTGTATGTAAGAATATAGTAATACTTTTTTTTTTTATATATATATATATATATATATATATATATTTTATTTTTTTTGCTCTGTATATGCAATATTTAAAATTGATTTCTACGCTTTCATGCTGAACTTTTGTTTTTGTTTCATTACAATTTCTTTTATTTGAAGCATACGATGCATAACTAACTTGTAGGTTTAGCTCATGCCGTATAGAACTATTTGGGAGTGGAAAAAGTTTGCGATTACATGGTATTCATTATTTTTCAATATTTCACCCAGGCTCTACAAGACAATCGTAGAAGTGTAATGTTTGTCACACTGTTGGAGTGACCAAGTCCGATAATATAACCTATACCCTGTTTATGGATATCCTGATAGTATCTTTAGAAATACAATTTTCTAGAATGCGGTTATAATGCAAAAAACCCAAAGTACAGCTATTAAGTATACTTTATTTAGCTATACCACAGTGCCATAAAATTTGACCCACAAAGGCAGCTATAGAGAATGCCATTTACAATGCCTTTGCAGAAACATAAAAAAAAATGATTTTTTTTTCAACTGGGTAAAAACTATCCCTGGAGCAAGGAGTCTGTAAATTGGGGAATTTATAGGCTACATATTCTTTGGAAATGCAAAGTGAATGTTAACCCATGTATGTGCATTCTTGGGAAAGAAGGGGGTAAAAGCACTGTAATCTGCCGTTGAATTAAAATGAAGTCTTGCTGGTTTGTACCTGCTTCAGTGGTAATGGCTCTATGCCAAGGAGTAGGAGTGCAGTTATTATGTACATGACACATTTTAGATTTCACCTTCTTGTTTGAGTGCCATACACAGGTTAGTTTTTATCATTTTTGTTTGTTCTTTTGTTATTTTGCTGTAAGTCACCCGTTTCCATCTTTTCATCTGTTTTTAGAGATAACGTACAGTTACATACTAATGTTTATAAAAGTTTTGGAAACTATGTGTTGCTTAGAAATGGCATGTGCTGTTAGATGTGAGAAAATATAAAGAACAGGTATAAGGCAAATGGAATGCTTGACCATGAGCCTGGAAGTAGAGAGATTAAATTGTAGTGTCAAGATTATTTGAGGTCAGATATAAGGCTGGTGATGAGAATTCATTTTTTTAAAGCTGCATTATTCATCACTGGATAGTTGCCACCTTCTCTGCTGCTTTAAACTAAGATTAATCATTAAATATTCAGGCTCTCTCCTGATATGCCTTTAAATCTAGTGAATACTCTTACTTCCCTAGTATTTCCTTTAGCTCAGGCTCCCTTTATTTATTTATGTATTTATTATTTTATAAAAAAATGTAACAGGAAAGATACATTGAGATTTCTCTCGTTTTCAAGAATGTCCTGGGTGCACAAAATATTGCATTGTTACATTCGGGTACAATAAAATACAAATACAATATTAATACACAACATATACAAATTTAACATAGAACAGGTAGGAATATATAATCAACCATGACAGGTGCATTCTGTTTTGAGGTATGTAGAGAGGGATCTGTTAAGTATTTTAGGCTTGGGGAAGATTTTAAAGTGTGCGGGAGGTCGTTCCATAATTGCGGCGCTCTGTAGGAAAAGGAGGATCGGGCCGCTTTCTTTTTGTATTGAGATTGGACAGCAAATGCTAATGCCAATCATTGATTATGGGGATGTAGTATATGCACTAAATAAAGTGCTGGTACTGGATCGGAGGTTATAGGAGGTGGGAACAGCCGAGGAGAGAATTCTGCTCAGGCAGGGTGGGAGCTTCCCAGAAAAGACTGGAAAGATGAAGGGTGTGTCTGGATTCCAGCGACAGCCAGTTTAATTATTTTAGCATGTCACAATGATGGGTCCTGTAATTACATTGTAGCACAAATCGGGAGAACGAGTTATACAATGTGTTGAGTTTATTAATGTGGGATTGTGGTGCAGGTGCATATACTACATCCCCATAATCAATGATTGGCATCAGCATTTGCTGTACAATCTTTTCCTTTACTGTAGGGCTTAGGCAGGATTTGTTTCTGTACAGGGCACCTAGTTTTGGATAAAGTTTAGATGCAAGTTTTTCTATGTGCAGGCCAAAAGATAGATTGGGGTCTGACAACACACCAAAGTCTTTGAAAGAGTGGACTGCAGTCAGTGTGCTATTTGAATTAGTTTTGATGGATAGGTGGGAATTGTGTGATTTAGGTACTGCCGCAAGTCGCAGAAATGTCCTGTGTCTGCCCAACTGCACTCTGACAAGAATCCAGAAATTTTCTTGATTTGATCTTCGATATCTGCCAGTATCAGGAATATAATTTTAAGGTCTTTCATGGCCGCAAAGTATCTGCCTACCCTGACATTGCGGGGCTCAATGATATTGTAGACTTTAGTCTCTAGTTTGTGTCCTTTCTCCCAGGTCAGTGATTGAATTTTTAAAAAACAGAAAAAAGAGGCCGTCCACTTCATAAAATGTGTGGAGGGTCTTTAAAGGATTACTGGCAATCTAGGAGGGGAATAACCCTAATTAGGAACTTTTAGGAAAATGGAAGAAGGAAAAGACGCCAAGTGTGAATCCTATTAGATTACTGTAGATTTTAAACCACTTATCAAGAATAAAACATAACTTTATTATTAAAAACCAGCTATGTAATATAAACAAACAGCAAGTAGTGTGACAACAAAGTGAATATGTAAAAATGAACCATGTTGTTTATATGGCTTTCAATTTCTTAGTGATTGCTTCAGCTGCAGGCTTGCAAAGGTTTATGGTTCAATATACTAATCAAATGCAAAAGATACAATGTTGCTGGAATCAGATCCCACTTATTTTTATATATAGATACAAATCCTATTCAGTATAAAAGGGGAGAGATCTCAGTATAAATATTTAAACAAATGTCCTGTATTTTGGATACATGTTGGTTCAAGGGTTGTAGTTATTAGACCTTATATATAGCAGAGAATTAGCACATATTACCATAACGAGTCTCTTAATATATTAAGAAAGGGAATAAGTACTCAAATGTTCATCTAAGTGGATGATGTATGAAAAGGTCTTCCCTCCATATGTCTCTGAAGGTATCAAAACCCTAGTTAGAGATGTAGATCCCTAAAAACCGCCTAACAGGCAGTGATTGAATTTTGATATATCTGAACTTGCGTACTGTCATCTTATAACGAATTACCCATATAGTCTGCTAATGCTTCACAGGCCATTGTTGGATATCAAGCCTGCGTAGGGTCATTTGCCTTCATATTTGAAGCAACGTCCAGCTGCAGGAATGTTCTGGCTGCTTGCTCCTTGTACTCAGTTCTTCAACAAATATTTATAATGTAGTTTAGCTTGGGACTTCTTCCCTTTATTACTAGCCATAAGATGACCTTAGGCCAGGCTTCCCCAAACTCTGGCCCTCCAGATGTTGCTGAACTACAACTCCCATGATTCTATTGATGAATGGCTCCGAATCATGGGAGTTGTAGTTCAGCAACATCTGAAGGACCAGAGTTTGGGGAAGCCTGCCTTATGCTTTAAACAGAGTTGTGGTTGTTGCTTTTTTTTTTTGTTTGTTTGGTTTTTTTCCTCTTAAGGGCTTGGAGCTGCTGCAATATTTATCCGTCTCCTCTGTCATTCAAGCCATGCACCCAAAATCCATAATTTTAATTAAATGCCTCATTATACAGACGTTCACTGATTTCTCTAATTTTTACAAATGTTAATGGTTCTACTAGTAATAAACAGTATGTATGTAGCTCAGGGAGGAGGACGACAATAGGTTCCTTCCCCCATCCCCTTATTGTTATTTAGGGCCCCCACCTGGCGCACAGGGGTGGGGTGGGGGGCAATAGGTCCCCCCGTTCAGTTTAATAGCCCCCACTCGCGCTGCTCAGGAGGGTTTTTGTTTTTGTTTTTTAACAGTGAGCTTTGTTTACTAGACATGCCCCTACTAGCGATCAGGGGCAGAATTTTCTAATACTAAGTAATCTTTCTTTAGGTCTGTCAGCCTTTTGGTAGATAGCACCCTAATACCATGGGAATTAGGGAGCTATCTACTAAGCGGCTGCAAAATGCAGCTGTGGCACAAATAGGATCAGAGTTTCATTCATTAGAATGAAATTCTGATCAGAACAAAGTCCCGAATTGCATCCTAACATGAATTCACAAACTGTTACCTCATTCTGTTAGGACGAAATTCGGTAGTTTCGCCAGCGTTCTGTCTAGTTGACAGGACGTTCGGGAATACTGACAGGAAGCATTGCGAGATCACGGATAAAAGGTGAGAATTGTGGGGAAATTGCTTTGATCACCGGAAACGAAGCACACTCTGCTCCTCCACTGGTCCTACTTTCTTATGTTTTAAAGAAAACTAGAGCAGACAGGAAGAAATGAAGAACAGATCCTGACAGAGGGAGAGAAGAGGAATTGATTAAAGAAAGGCAAGTTCAGCATAGCAGTGCCGCTTTAACATTAAGACTTGTATTTTTTTTTTTTTTATATATAAATATATACTTTACCTCTCCTAACTTATATTGTATACTTTGTTAATCCAATTCCACACTTGACCTTTTTAAAAATATATATATATATATTTATTTTTTTATCTTTCATCTAGAGTGAGATCATACATGATAATCCGGGAATTCTTGATTGTTTAAAAGAAGGAATTGGTCGCATCGTTGGACTTGGAGTGCCGCACAGTAAACGGCTGCTGCCTATACTTGTTATCACATTCCCCACTGTTCTTCATGGTGTTTTACATTACATTATCAGCTCTGTCGTTCAGAAGTGTGTGCTGTTCATCATTAAGAAAAAGGCCCCACCACGCGATTCGACAGACAGGCCAAACATAGTTCAAAACACCTTGGATGATTACTTCCCCGAACTTATAGCAAATTTTGCAGCAAGCCTTTGTGCTGATGTCATGCTTTATCCCCTAGAGACAGTGTTACATCGCCTTCACATTCAAGGTACGCGTACGATTATAGACAATACAGATCTCGGCCATGAGGTTGTCCCAATCAACACACAATATGAGGGAATGAGAGACTGCATGAATTCCATAAACCGTGAAGAAGGCATCCTTGGCTTTTACAAAGGTTTTGGAGCTGTGGTGGTACAGTATACGCTTCATATGGCCGTTCTGCAAATAACAAAAATAATTTATACATCTTTATCACGTAATACTAGCTAAAGATTCTGAGTTCTGATGATTAGAATGTCAGATATAATTATTGTTGGGTTTTTTTCTTGAAACGCCAGTGCAAAAAAAGTGTAAATCCTTTCCCACTGTGTTGTCTGTTTTTATTTTTATCCATTAAAATATCCGTCGAATGAGAATTTACAAATCTAATAATTAGACAAAAGAACAAAGGTGTTGCATATTCCTCAGGGGACTAACCCTTATACAAAGTAAACTACTAAAATTCAGAATATAAAAGACCTGCCGTCCAAGATACCAGTATGAGTATGATAAAATCTTAGAACTTTATCGAATTAGACTAAAATTGGTGATACACAAGAAAAATGAAAGTGATAGTGTCACTCTGATGTGACCTAAACAGTAGCCTCTCTTTAAAAAAATAAATAAAAAATAGAATCGTTAAAGGCTGTTCTTTACTTGAGGAAAAAATAAAAAGGACACCACATTCTCCTGATTACCAGCGTGCAACCGGGCCTGAGCCAGGCCAAAACCTAACCTTTACAGTTCTGAGTAACAAATGCCGGTTCAGGCACTAGAGAGGAAACCAAAAGCAACGTTTTAACCCAGCCAGGTCTTTATCTTGAAAAAAAGACCCGGCTTGGTCAAAACGTTGGTTTTGCTCCAATAAACCTGCTTAACTTGTGTTCACCTTGAGTACCTGGACCGTAATTTGTTACGATTTATTTACTTTAGAGGCAGCGTGTGCAAGTTAGTGACTTGAAACATTGACTAGATAGTAAGTTTAAATAAAGTGATACCTGAGATCCACCAAGTTGTGGTTGGTGGTAGGTAGGCTATTTTAGCTGGATACATTGCTTAAATGTTGTACTAATAAGTATCACTTTTTTTTTGTAAATGCTCCTCACTGGTATCGTTTAGATTTTAGGTCTTTTAAATGTATAACTAACCAACTTTTCTTTAGGTTTCCCAAAATGTTTGCATCTTGAAGAATATAAATCAATCTGTTCAGTAAATTTATCAAGATGTCCAAAGTTAGAGTAAAAACTATTATTCCATTCTGTTTATACCTTCTCTGAGGAACAGGTTCTATAGCAGTAGTTCCCAAACGTTTTAGGTTCAAGGCGCCCTTAACAGTTTGGGAACCGCTGTTCTATAGAATACCAGCTCACATTTTACTTTTTATCTATCACCTCATTGTAAATGTGAATGCTTGTTTAAAAAGGGCACATATTAAAGCAAGGATTGTTCGTATCCATCTGTTTCATTAAATGTGCACTACTGATGAATCTTTAACTGTTGGTGCAACAAAGAGAAGCAACGTATGGGTGGACAATTTGGGTATCTGAACCCATTTAAAATGTTTAATTGCATTAATTCAGGAATATGTTTTTGGCTTTAAATGTTGGTATTCTTTGATACATGCATGTGTAAAAGTTACTAATTATGTGTCTTAAGCTAAAGTGGGCTTTTAAGGGTGTTTTCAAAATACATATAAACGCAACTATTAAAACAAAAGTATATTTATAAATAAAAATTGAGAGAAGTGTGATGCAATTTATTTTCCCCTTTAAATGCCTGATAAATATTACTGCTGAAAGGTTATTTAATGTATTTGAATTTAGGAAATACATTTACAATTTGGTGTTTTGAAGAGCCTATAAAAACAAAACTCAATTGCAAAATAATAAAACAAAGCTATTCTGTCTGAATCAGTGAGACCTCAATTAAAGCAATCAATGTGTTAAAACATGTTTGAGAATTTTTGTTCTGAATTAAATCGCTCCAAGTGGGTCACGTATGCTAAAATGGTGTTTTTGACACACCTTCGCTGGATATATTGGGTTCCAGTATATTTTCTTGCATCATTACAGGGGGCAAAGAACCATGGACTCTTTGTCTCTGCCTTTATATTTGCAAAAACTGCTGTCATTACAGGCCTGCCCGTCTGAATCATTGGCATCAAAAGACAAATTATACTCAATCCTTTCCTTTTCAAGACCTGTTCAACATCACGCAAATACCTACCTCCTCCCAACCCGCGCCTACACACAAGCACTGTAGTGTGTTTGCTGTCAGCTTGCTGTCAGTCTGTCCTAATTGAAACTGTGGCTGGTGGACTGCTACGTGTACCGTAAATTTGGTTGATGAAGTCTCATCCTGATGTAAGAGGTGTTAATTCTGTTTGCAGTGTATTCATAGAAACAACAAGAACTTGTACTATACTCTCTTTCCCCAACAATCTAATTGTTATTTATGTAATAGACTTAAATAGGTAACAGTAATTTTTCATGCCCAGGGCCCACACACAATTTTTTCCCAAAATGACATCCTTCTTCATCTGCCTTATTTCCTTTATTCTGTAATAATTTTGTGGGCGCATGTGCCTTCCTTTCCCTTTCTCCTAATTTGCTGTGTCCAACAAAACCACTGTATGTCATCAGGAACACTGTGAAGCTTTCTGGGATATTTACTTACATAGGTATAAAGCTGACAACTGAACTACACGTTCTAGAACCCCCTGTTCCGACTCTATGCAGACAGACTTCCCCTCTATATTTAACAGAGAACTGCCTATTTTCAGTTATAAAGCTTCTTAAGAGCTTCTAGTATGAGCGAGCTGATATTACAGCCAGAAAGTGGTTTAATCGCTACTGTTGGGAATTTCATATAACATCAGTTGGTCTTTGGCAGTCTCTGCTACTCTCGGGACCTGTGAAAGTTGTCCAAAGAGTCTAACAGTATCCGTGCTTGATCCTGTTGATATTGAGTGATGTAACCAAGATGGAGATGGAGGTAACATGCTTAGTCTGTATTCGAAGACAGGCTAGAACTGGCTATTTGCACTAGATGAAAATATATTCTAGAACAAAACCAAATATACCTGGAAGATGGAGAAGACATCCACGCATGGAAGGTCCTGTGCAGCGTTACTCATGTCATAAGGTGTGTACGTCCCATGACCACCAGGGGGTGCCCATGGCGAAGGCTGCATGTAAGAACTCACATTCCTGCACTCCAACATACTGTCTGTTCCAGGAGTTAAAAACACTACAGCTCCTTTTTACATCCACGCGTGGATGCCTTCTCCATCTTCCCACGTGGTCAGATATATTTCTTTTCACCAATCCAGGTCATTTGATCCCTCACTTCCTTCTGTGTATTTGTCCCTCGTCCTTCAAATTGTAACCTTGTTTGGGCAGTGCACTTTTCACCCACTGTTCCTGTATGTCCTACGTGTTTTATTAGAATTGTTTCTTGTCTTCTTGTACAGCTCTGCAGAATATGTTGGTGATATATAAATGATTGTAACTGCACAAGGCATGCCCTGACATCTCCCTAGTTCACTTGCATACCTGTGGTCATGGACAGGGCTGACAGTCAGAAAGTTTCTACCAAGGGATCAGCTTGTATAGTGTGTGCAGGTACTGAACACTTATTGTATTGCATCAACAGGTATCATTATTCATCCTTAGCCATTTATCAAGGCTGGGCTTGCTAGGTGTGTGGTATGGATTAGGACTTCTCTCAACTACTAATGGAAAGCTACCCCCTGATTAACATTTGGGCATATCAAGCCAGTTTCTCAGTTAATCCCAGTGTTTGTTTTTTTTTTTTTTATAGAGCATATTTGTAATCCTAACACTGATATATCTGGCAGTGTGTTTGTCTGACTCTTTCAAAAGTGTTCTATTTTTACTTTGTGACGTAATGCTGTGTGTGTGCTTTCAGATCAGACTCCATAGACCAGCGTTTCCCAATTGGTGTTCCGCAGAACCCTAGAACACAAATGGGGTTCCGCCAAAATTTCTAAAAACAAAATGCCGGCGGGCGGTGAGGGAGCATTGGGCAGTGATCTCCCTGCTCAGCTTCCTCACGTGCACTGCAGTAATGCCGGAGCCTCACTAAGAGGCGCGCGAGGGAACTTCGCCGCTCAGCAGCCCCACTGGACCCCAGGGACCGCACACTCAGCCCAGCAGCCCCACTGGACCACAGGGACATAGAGACTCCATGCCAGCACTCCCAAAGGTAGGGAGACTGGGTGGAGTAAAATTTAAAAAAATAAAATAAATTCTGTGTGTCTGTTAGTTTGTGTGTGTTTGTCAGTGAGAGTGTGTCTGCGTATATCAGACTTTTTGAATGCGTCTGTATATGACACTGTGGGTGCAAGTGTGTGTATTTGTGAGTCAAGATGTGTGTATGTTTCACAGTGTATCTGTGTCAGATGCATAGATACACACACTGGCACGTACAAACACAGATATACACACCTTGACACACACACACACACAGTGTGTGCATCTGTGTCAGATACACACCAATATACAAAAAACTGTGCTTTTTCTTATTTCTGGGGGGGTTGGGGGTTCCACGATGTTGATACACAAAGGGACCCACATGAAAAATTAATTGGGAACCCCTGCCATAGACCAGCTAAAGTTTATCTGTAGAAAGGAAAGAACTTTTAAAATATAAATCTAGATATACCCTTAAAAACAGTACGGACATCCCCTTCATATGTCAATATAATAGAAATATTAAGTGCATTCAAAAAACAATAAACAGGCAATGGCACATCCTAAGAGACGATCCTATCTTAAAGAACATCTTACCATCAAAACCAAAAATTATATATAGAGGAAACAGAAATTTAAAAACCATTGTGGTAAGGAGTAGTCTAGATCCTACTAAACCAGACCATCTAAACAATCTTGTAGGATTTTATGGCTGTGGGGAATGTTTACCATCAGAACCACCAAAAATAAAAAAATACATCTTTTGGATTTAAGTACTTTTTTGGGACAACAATACAAAATAAAAGACCACCTCACATGTCACTCCAAAGGAATAATCTATGCCCTGAAATGTCCATGCAATCTCCTCTATATAGGGAGAACAATACGCCCACTACACATAAGAATTGCAGAACATATACGCAACATCAGAAAAGGTTTAGAAACGCATTCCGTCTCTCACACATAACCAAGATCCTACGGTCCTGCAATTTTGTGCAATAAATTGGTAACAAAAAATTGGAGAGGAGGTGATTACGGGAATAAATTAGGAAACGAAGAGATGAAGTTCATTTTTAATTTCAATACCCTAATACCAAATGGTTTGAACTCAGACTTCGAGATTTGCCATTTTCTTAAGAAATAATTCCCTCTTTACCAAGATTCTCCTGTTCACTATTATTGACATTTGTATTAATAGATCAATCATTTTTGACACACACTGTATTGGGTAATTTTCATTGGTTCTTAGTATACTGTCATACCTTCTTTCCTGTATATACATTTTTTATATATACTTTTGCATTTTTTCAAAATATTTATAATATTTTTTCAATATATTTAATATTTTTTATTGTATATTTAGCACATATGTACCTATTATACATTTTGTGATATATTTAATCCTGTCATTTTAATCCTTTTTTTTTTTTTTTTTTTACCTACATCTAATTTAATCTCTGACATTTGATGTACCAAGAGGACATCTAAAATATACTTTTAATCCTTTGGAAAAGCTTTTCAACAAAGACTGATAGGTGTAACAACTTCTAGGAACTCTACAAAGGCAGACAATACTTTATTAAGTGGGTGGAACGCATATGCGTCCCATTCTCGGAAAAACCGGAAGTGCGTTCTACTGACGGACGGAACGAAAACCGGAACAGGAAGTGACGACGGAACCCGGAAGTAACGAAGATCAAGCAGATGTCCAGCATTTATCCATCAAAAGGGGTATAAAAGGATGAGAAGTAACAGAGCAACCTTAGGAGCAACTGAGGAAGCCCATATATTGGGCGAAATGCGTTTTGCTGAACTTTCCCAGAGTGGATAACTGACTTTTTGTCCCTTAGTGGACCATTTCATATTAAGAGACTTTTGATTTGTTTTGTTTTTTATTTTGATTTTTTTTTTAATACATTTTATTGCACTTTTTACCCTAAGTGGGATTTTATTTTTTATGTATTTTCCTTTTTTATTAAAGAAGAATTTAGATTTGTGGATATGGTCCCTTCTTCTTAATTAATACAAGGAATACAGAACAAGCTGCTATACAGAGAGGGAGTTGGGAACCCTAACAACCATCCCACAGGCGTCCAAATTGAGCCAGTTTCCTTTGGCTCTTGGTTTGTGAGTACCTACCACAAATTATATTTAAAGTCACCATTGCACTTTACGATATTGCACTAGATTGTGTTTTCTCTGACTTTACAGTTTTTATTACATTTTATATGCCATTGTACAACAAACCAAGATACTCCACCTACTCTGTATGTATGTATGTATGTATGTGTTTTAACTTTCATGTGGATTGAGGGATTACCACATACGTGTTTGTGAGTAACTTGGTGTAAGTTGAAATCACCCGCTGTAACTCAGTAATTGTATTACAAAGTTTATTTTGTTGTATATAAATTCTTTTTTTTCTTCATACTACTTTATACATACAATGTTTGCTATCTATGCATGCAGGATATTAACATTAAAGCCATATCTGTCCCTTAAAAAAACATTTAGTATGTATAGGTGCATTGTGGAACACACATAGCAAAAAGGCCTCTGTCCATTTACATGAAATATTGGAAAAGCCTAGGTCACTAGGGATTACATTTTATACACAAGTAGGCTGAGGCAAAACCGTTAATAATAATTACTATGATAAATAAAATGCTAGACATTCCAGGTACCGGGGAGCAGCCATGCAAAGAATAACTATGCAGGGTTATTCTCAAAACCCTGAATTTTATCAAATTAAATCTCAGGTGCAAAACGGAGGCTGAAATAGCCGAGCAGTGTCTAAGGTGTGAGAGAAATGTTTTCTAATTCAAGTTTCAGTTATTTGAGCCTAAATGTTGGGGTGTGCATTTAATGCGCTCAATTTAAGTTTAATTTAGAAAAAAAAACTGATATGGGCCCTGTTTTTCGATGACACTAGATGCACTATTTCTGCTCTAAAAGTTGTACATTTATTGAAATCATAGGTGTTTGTGAGTATACATATACACACCATATACACGTAGAAAAACTCTGTAATTCTAATTGATCTCCTCATTTTCCTCACTGCTATAGCCTGGCTTAATCCCTCTCCCTCCACTGTTTGGTTTTTCACACACCACGTTAACAAGATTTTTTCGACAAGGGTATCTTAGCAATCAGTCAATATCCCTCGAACATGCAGTTATTTCTCTTCCATGTTTTTACCCCGTCTTCATAGACTGTAAGCTCCTTTTGAGCAGGACCTTCTTCAGGTATTGTCAGTGTTATAAATATGCATGTCAGTTATCCCTATTCTATCATTGTAAAGTTGGCAATATATAAATAGTAATTATAAATGAAAAGGAGACCAGGTATTAACTGACAGATTGTATCAAGATCCTGGTCTGAGTGGACTCGAGCTGGCATCTTCAGAAAAAAATAAAAATTGCAGCAGACTTTAATTCACCAAGACATTTTTGGCAGTATCTTATCATCTGTCTGTACAAAACGTGTAGAAAAGGTTTGGGAACTTTTTACATGATTGTAATCTGAACGATGACTAACTATGAATAACTACATTTCAAAGTGTTTTAAGGTAGTAATTTTGCGGTTTTTCCCCTTCTTTGTTTGCAAACCAGAGCTAGTGCAAGGATATTCGACTAGTAGGTGAAGGTGCATTTTAGCCAACCCCCCCTCCCTAAATTTTTCTTGCGGTTTCTGAAATCTTTGAGCTGTGGCAGAAAACACTAGATTGTGATTATGGATAGTATCATTATAGACGTATGTATATAGTATAGAAAAAGATAGTAAAAGATATAGATTTTCACAAGTATACAAAATATTTGACCTAATCCAATTACTATAGAATAGCTAAATGTTATTTGAAATAAGAACTCATAACATTTTTCTAACAGCAGTGCTACTTAGCTGTTGAGGGTCCCTTCTTTATAAGCGATAGACATTTAACCCCTTAAGGACCAAACTTCTGGAATAAAAGGGAATCATGACATGTCACACAAGTCATGTGTCGTTAAAGGGAGACTATAGTCACCAGAACAACTATAGCTTATTGTATTTGTTCTGGTCAGTTTATTTCGTCCCTCCAGGCTTTTTGCAGTAAATATTTTTTTTTTTTTTTCAGAGAAAAGGCAGCGTTTACAATACAGCCTCTGCTGTTCACTCATCTTATGGCTACTAGAGGTGCTTCCTGGGTCAGTGCTGCACAGTGTGACTGACATTCAGCATCTCCACCCTCTGCATGCAGACACTGAACTTTCCTCATAGAGATGCATTGATTCAATTAATCTCTATTAGGAGATGCTGATTGGCTAGGGGTGTGTTTGAATCATGCTGGCTCTGCCCCATATTATTATTATTATTATTATTGCCATTTATATAGCGCCAACAGATTCCGTAGCGCTTTACAATATTTTGAGAGGGGGGGATGTAACAATAAATAGGACTATTACAAGAAAACTTACAGGAACAATAGGTTGAAGAGGACCCTGCTCAAACGAGCTTACAGACTATAGGAGGTGGGGTATAAGAAACATTAGGACAGGAAATATCAAGTAGGAGTGAAGCAGAGCTGGAGGAGAGAGCAGAGCACTGTCCCATAGGAGAGAGCAGGAGACAGGTATGTAAGGTAGAGATTACTCTGGGAGGCCATACGCTTTCCTGAAGAGATGGGTTTTAAGGCCCTTCTTAAATGATTGAAGACTAGGGGAGAGTCTGATGGCAGTAGGCAAGCTATTCCCTTTACAGTCTCAGCCAATCCTATGAACAAGCGTTACGATTGTCTCAGAGAATCACTTCTAATGATATCAGCAATTCAGGGGGAGAGCCAGCAGCAGCAGAATGTAATAAAGGTAAGATTTGTCTATATTTAGAATGGCAGGGGGGTGGCTAGTGTATTTAACATGTTTGTGTTCCTGACCTTATAGTGTTCCTTTAACGCTTATCTCACATTGCAGCGGTTTTGTCATACATAGCTATTATTCCTCCCCTGGCTGAGATTATAGTTAGTGATGATCTCAGCCATTCCAACATTTCTCCATTGAGAAGCATTAAAGGGCTTACTGCGCATGTGTGGCAGAGAGGCATAATTGTGCCTGGTCCTGCAAAAATTACAGGACCATAATAAGAAGTGTATGTAGTAACTGATTGACAGCCCCTAGAGATGTCCTTACAGACAAACTATTACTCAAACTGCAACTGCAAGTTGTGCAACTAGTATCAATGTGCTTAAATATTAACATATATAGCATTACTATAGATAACATTTTTATAGAATGTACAAAAGTTTACACTTTAGGTTTCTGCAAGAACTCTATCAGTGTGAATTCACCGAAAGTGTAAAGTCCTTTAACAGATATTGCAGTGAGAATGGTAGCCTATAAAAATGTAACCTTTCTTGCTTTTGCATTTACAAAATCATAAAGCACAGTTTTATAGTCAGTGACTTGTGCAATACGATTTTTAATAGCAATCACTGCAAGTCCCACCAATGTCTCTTGAGACAGAGAGGACCGAAGATGATTATTGACTTAAGCTTTGAAGGCAACAGGTATGTGCAATGTCAATAGCATGTGTACTGCAATAGAGACCGTGGGTGCAAAGCCATTATTACATGCACATGCTGCACTTTGGGTGTCATTGTAGGTCTCAAGATAGGAGCCAATATTGTAACTTCTTAAGTTGTGCTCCATCCAGATAAGAATCTTCTGGGTTTTTTTTATTCAGTCAAAAGATTCTGCAAGTCTAGAGACTACTTTCTAAGTCTTTTTTTCCATGGTACATCCTAAAGTTTATGAATATTATAAAGAAACTGAAAGGGCTTACAGTGATGCTTTATCTGCTCAAATCTCTCATCAACAGAATTAATACACACATCCAAAATGCTATAGAAACGCTCAGTGTCAAATCATGAATTGGATCATCTCATGCTTTATAACAAAACATCCTCTTTCTCTTTATTTGTTGCACTAAAGGAGGAAAAACAGGATCTATGTCCATTTCTAATGATAGCTCTTTTGCCTCTTCTAGTAAATCTTCAAACCCTTTATCAGAACGATAATCCTTCATAAAAGTAGATGTAGATTCCAGAATATCAATCACATCTGGAAGATACATACTCATATTTTTGGAAGACGCTTGCTTACAAAGTTAATTCTATTTAGTATATTGTACTACAATACAATAAAACCCCCAAAAATTAAAGTAACACTATAGGGTCAGGAACACAAACATGTATTCCTGACCCTATAGTGTTAAAACCACAACCTAGACCTCTCCCCTCCCCCATGCCTCCCAAAAATATAGTAAACTCTTACTTGTATTCAAGTCTGCAGCTGCTGCCTCTGCCTCTTTGGCTAACATAATCAGAAATGGTGGTCTGGGCCAATCACACTGCTTCCCCCTAGGATTGGTTGAGACTGTCAAGGAGGCAGATCAGGGGCAGAGCCAAACACAGCCCTGGCCAATCAGCATCTCCTCCTAGAGATGCGTATTTATGAGGAAAGTTTAGTGTCTCCATGCAGAGGGTGGAGACATTGAATGGGAGTTCTGCTCACTATGCAGAACTGCCCCAGGAAGCACCTCTAGTAGCCATCGGAGGAGTGGCCAGTGGAGTTATCACTAGGCTGTAATGTAAACACTGCCTTTTCTCTGAAAAAAACAGTGTTTACTGCAAAAAACCTGAAGGGACTGATTCTACTCACCAGAACAAATACAACAAGCTGTAGTTGTTCTAGTGACTATAGAGTCCCTTTAAGCTATTACATGAGAGAGAGAGTGTGTGTGTGTTTTGTTTTGTTTTTTTAATATATCTATTGACATTTCAGACAAGGCATCGTAAATTTCTCCAATTGAAATGGACTGATAACATCTATTCTTGAAGACCATCTGGGGTCAGATGAAGGATTTTTACAGTTAGTTTGCCAATATGCTTCTTCAAGACATTCCATCGAACTGTGGATCCTGACAAAGTCACATGTATTTTCTGAAAGAAAAGAATGTTGTTGCATCCCTTCATGACATTCACAACTAGATACAATGTATGAGCACTGCAGGAAACATAAAAGGCACTAGTTTAAATCCAGGATTTTTGGTTGGATTGGTGTTTGCCCTTCATATTGGATCCATTATTGTATCCTTGTCCTCTTGTATCACCAAGTGGAATCTTAAAGGGACACTACAGTCACAAGAACAACTACAGCTTAATGTAGTTGTTCTGGTGTCTATGCTATGTCCATGTAGGGGTTTTGCAGTAATCACTGCCTTTTCAGAGAAAAGACAGAGTTTGCATTGCTACCTAAAAACACTTTCAATGGCAGTCAGTCAGATAGCCACTAGAGATGCTGAACTTACCCCATAGAGATGCCTTCATTCAATGTATCTCTATGAAAAGATGCTGATTGGCCAGTGGGGCATTTGGCTCTGCCTCCTCCGCCCCCGCCTCCTTCACTGAGATCATCGGAATTTCCTATGGGAAAGTATTGGATTGGCTAAGATTATCAATTCTAATGATCTCAGGCAAGGAGGTGGATCAGGGGTGGGGCCCGCGCTGGCAGACTCATGCAGTGCTGGAATAAAGGTGAGTTTTTAACTGATTTAAGGGAGGCTGGGTGCATGGGTGTCTGCAGGAATTTTTCCGGAGGAGGGGGGAGGGGCATAATTGTAATGACATCCATGCTTGGTCCCTTTTTGACAGTGTCATGAAAGGGAAGGGGCATAGCCATTATCACATAAAGCTAGGGTGAATAGCGTTTTCACAACTATGGTGTCAGGAATACATGTTTGTATTCCTGACACTATAGTGTTCCTTTAAGCAAATTAAAGGAACATTCTGGTCACCATAACAACTTCATCTAAATGAAAATGCTTTGATGCCAGCATGCCCCTGGGTGCTCTCTAACCTTTAAGGGGTTAAACCGCTCTCAAATGGTTTAACCTTAAAGGCTTACTCCAGATCTCCAGGTCGCTCAGTGTTATTCGGCTTCTGAA